GGGTGGCTATGTTGGAGGAAATAGGAATTTGTTTGTGTATAACATATATTTTTTTTTAAAAGCTATACCTTGTTTAGCTGTTTTATTTTGGGGGAGATTATAAAAGTATCCTACGTAGTTATTGGGGGTGTATGCTGATTTATTAGAAAGGAGGTGTGTTGTAGTTGTTAAATAGGCCTTTTAAATTCCATTGAAGAATTCGCATGATCTATTCTGAACTGAGGGTATTTATTTGTGCGGAGGGTGAGTGGGTGGTTGAGTTGTTAAGGTGCGTAATGCAGCGTTTTTGCTGCATTTAAAATGCAACATTTAGCATTTTCGAAGAGCGTTCATGCTATCGCATTTAGAAAATGTACATTTACGCGAGTTCGAAATCGTATGCTTTTGGCAAACAGCCGTGTTCCAGTCGCTTATTTAGATCCGTATCTATTACGATCAATTCAACCCCACCGGAAAGGGAAAAAATAAATTTTAAACCAATAATTTAATACAAAAAACTTGAATTGTTTTAATCTTAACCGAAAATTTGTTTGCGTATATATTCATTTGTCGGTGCGTGTTGAGTCCATTTAAGCATTTACTCAAGTGTTAATTGCAGATGTTTACATTAGGGTTAAGTGTAGAGTCACCGCATAAGGGTTAACCGTTTTGACACTTATTTTTCTAATTTGTTATGCACCTGTTCTTGTAATATAATCTTTATTTTTATCAATCGTTATTGCCTCTTACTAGTGACTGCATCGTTTTTCGCTATTAATCGTTCCGCCCGCTACCGCTTAAGTGTATTTAATTAATTTATATATACGAGTATACATATGTACATTGAAATCGCTACTCGAATAGACATTGAATTTACTATACATATTTAATAAAGCACTATATTGAATTTTAAACGCACTTCGTTTCCTTGTGAAATTGGAATAATTTTCATCAGTGAAATTCCGCAACATACTGGTCCTTCGTTCCGGATTCGGTCGCTCCGCGCGCATACATATATATATTTTGTTCCCGTACATATGTACGTACGTGGTACATACGCATAAGCGCGATTGAGTAAAATAATTTGTAAAAAACAAGTAAAATCCGCCGAAAAGCTAAAATAGCGCAATCCGCAAACTTAATATAGTTGAAACCCGCAATTGACTGCAATTAAGATAAAAGAAACAATCATTGGTGCATTAAATCGTGTGAGCGTTTGCGCATTCGACCTACAGTTAACATTGCGAAAATTCTAGAAGTCCGCCGCGTCCTTCATTTGAACTCTGCAAGTGCTTATATCTTAATCTTGACTTACGAACGGCTCCTCAAAGGCAAACACAAAAATGTCAAATTGCGCTAAAACGCGCGATTCCGCTCTCAATGCCATTAAACGCTATATGGCAAAAAGTGTAGACGATGCATTCACAATGGATGCGGAAAATATTACGAGCTACCTCCAGCTATTGGGTGAACAGTGGGCTCATTTTAACGTTGCCCAAGATGCAATAGAAATTTCTTGTGGTGTTGATAATGCTGATATCGAAGAAAACGTGCGTATCCAAGCCGAGACGGCTTTAGCAAACTTTAAGCGCGTACAAAAGTGTCGCACCGAACCGCAAAACAATATTGTGTCAACGCCTGCGTCCGCGACCATTCGTCTACCAAAAAAGGAGCTGCCTACATTCTCCGTTGATTCTACGGAATGGATCGGGTTTTACGACGCTTTTACCTCGCTAGTTGACAGTAACTCTGCACTGTCGGACGTACAAAAGCTGCACCACCTTCGGAGCTTCTTGAAGGGTGACGCGTTAAAAATTATTAGCGGGTTTAAAATAAGTGACGAAAATTACGCTAAAGCTTGGGGGCTAATAAAATCGCGGTATAAAGGCATGCGTGTAATTGTGGAAGGTCATCTTCCCACACTGGCCGATGTCAAAAGAGCTACGAGCGACAATGTCGAGGCAATCAAAGGTGTAATTGATGGGTTTCAGCAGCATATTCGCGAGCTTAAAGCGTTAGGTGGTCCAGTTGAATTTTGGGACGACTGGTTGGTAAATGAGGTCGTGAATAAATTGGCATTCGAGACGCGTAAGCAGTGGGAGCTATCACTCATTCGAACAATTACCCACATTGCTAGAGATACGATGTCGGTCGCTATCCATGCTTCCGCCATCAGTAACACCGGCACCAGTCAAGGTCAAAACAGCATCAGCAAGCAAATCGACAAACGTGTTCCATGCGGTACCGGAACAGAATAACGCGTGTGCTTATTGCAAGGGACCTCACAAAATTTATGGTTGTGAAAAGTTTCGTGATCTGGACTTAACCGCAAAATCGAAATTCGTGAAGCAAGCGCGTGTATGTTTAAATTGCCTAAGCTCGGGACACTATAAAGATCGGTGTAACAGTGCTTCCACTTGCCATGTGTGCTACCAACGTCATCACACGCTGTTGCATGATGCCGTACCTTCAACAACCGTTACCGCAACTAGTCATTTTTCCAACAATCCGTCCCATCCGTTCTCTCGAACGCTTTATTAGATTTTGACGTATCATCTAACGCTGCCGCTGACCCCGCGCCGCACGCAAACGATTCACTAGCCGACGACCCTTCATCGAGCGCCGCCGCTGCCTCCGTTTCATCATGCCTCAACTCCAATTTCATACCGCCCATTCCAGTAGAAAAAGTTGTGCTGCTATCCACCGCAGAGGTATGTGATTGGTCCGGCCGTTGGCAACCCGCGCGTTTACTGTTCGACTCCGGGTCGCATGCCTCCTTTGTGACCGAGGCTTGTGTGCAACGCTTGGGACTGCAGCGAACATCATCCGAAGTATACATCACCGGAATTGGGTCAGCGCAAGGAGGCCGAGCTAGAGGTTAGGTATCACTGTCTCCTACTGTTCCGATCAATGCTTCACTGTCAACGCGCTAATTTTGCCTTAAATTACAAGCGATTTACCAACGCAGACTGTAGCTGTTTCAACATGGCCGCATATCCGAGGGTTGTTTCTAGCCGATCCGCAGTTTATGGAGCCTGGGCGTATCGACGTATTGGTTGGCATGGACGTCATGGACCAACTTGTCTGTGCGGAATTCCACAAGGGTCCACCCGGGACTCCCATGACTCAGCGGACGGTCTTTGGATGGACATTGTTTGGAAGCGTGCATGGGGCCGGGCCTTCTGCGCCACGCTTGCAGTCGCTGCACTGTGATGTTCAGCTAGAGCGAGCCTTGACTAGGCTGTGGGAGTTGGAGGAAGCGCCTCAAAAAACACATCTTACATACGAAGAACGTTACTGTGAAGACCACTTCGAGACAACGCACCGAAGAGCACCTACCGGGCGATTCATCGTTGAGTTGCCGTTGAAGCCCGATGTACCGCTAGGGGAATCTCGAAACCTCGCCGTCCAGAATTTACTATGCCTTGAAAGAAGACTCGCTCGCGACAGCGACCTACGTTTGCGCTACAACGAGTTTATGAAAGAACTCATCGACATGAATTATATGCAGATCGCGTTAGAAACCTTGAATCAAACCTACTACATGCCGCATTATCCCGTTATAAAGGAGAGTAGCATTACAACAAAACTGAGGGTTGTTTTCAACGCGTCCGCCAAATCGTCTTTCGGTAATTCGCTGAATGACGCCTTACTTGTCGGCTTTCAACTGCAACACGACTTGTACAAGATTTTGATGCGCTTTAGAACGCACCGCTACGCAGTAACCGCAGATATCGCCAAAATGTATCGTCGAATCTGCGTATCCTCAAAACATGCCGATCTGCAGCGCATCGTTTGGCGCAGCCATCCATCCTTGCCCATCCAAGATTTTCGCATGGTTCCTGTGACGTACGGAGTACCAGCTGCATCTCACTTAACTGTCCGATCGCTGCAATAGACGGCAAAATATTCATCGAATGGTTGTGCTAGAGCCGTTAATGTCATCCTAAAGGACTTTTATATGGATGACCTGCTAAGTGGTGCATCTAGTAAGGAGGAACTTCTGTTGCTGCAGCAAAGAGTGTCTGAAATATTGCGGGAAGGTGGATTTGAACTCCGAAAGTGGGCGTCGAACTGCGTGGAACTAAATGCAGGCATCTCTAATGCAGCAGAAACCATATCGCATTACATCTTCGACGATAAGGATCTAAAACACGGAGGGAGACTAGTTTCATCAAAACAGCATTTTTATCAGACGCAGGCATGCCATTCGATCCGTTGGGACTGCTTGCACCTGCAACTATAAAATCAAAGATGTGGTTCCAAGACATTTGGCGCACCAATGTAGGTTGGGATGACCTCATTCCTGAGTCCATCGCAACGAAATGGTTGGAGCATCGCATAGAATTGCAACAGCTCGCACACTTGAAGGTGGATTGCTGGCTCGGTACGGAAGTATTTGGGTCGTCCACGCAACTGCACGTGTTTGTCGATGCGTCCGAGCGCGCATACGCTGCCGTTCTGTACGCGCGTACCTCACAAAGCGATGGCAGCATTATTGTCGCGTTAATATCGTCGAAGACCAAGGTGGAACCGCTTAAATCGACAACATTATTACGACTAGGGCTTTGCGCCGCGCATCTCGCTGCAAAACTGGTGCGAAGCGTGCTACTCAGCAGGTCTGATCTCCGTTACCCGCTGTTCGCGTGGACTGACTCCACCATCACGTTGGCTTGGCTTCAGGCGCATCCCAGCAGATGGATGACTTTTATTGCCAACCGCGTAGCCAACATTCAGGATGTCCTGCCGCCTGAGTGTTGGAACCACGTCCGCTCCGAGCAGAACCCTGCAGATTGCGCTTCAAGGGGTGTAACTCCCACCGAGTTACTACGTCATCAACTGTGGTGGGCTGGTCCTGACTTCCTAAGAAGCACTGACCAATTTTGGAAGCAAAAATCATCGAAGCAGGGTTCGGGCCCATGTGACTAGTTCCAGCCATCGGTAATAACGAAGCACTCGTCGTTTTCCAAACTTCGTCGTATCATTGCGTTACAAAGCGGTTTGGTCCTCCGAGTTGCAACGAGTTGTCTGAAGCTGAAATTCGCCTAGTCAGGTATACGCAACAGCATTATTTGTCTAATGAAATTTCTCTTTGCAGCGTTAAAAGACCAATCCCGCTTTGCAGTTGTCTTTTGCGTTTGCAGCCGTTCCTCGATGTGAACAATGTTCTGCGTATTGGAGGCAGATTAAAAAATGCTCAAGTCACGCCTGACGTAAGGCATCCCATTATCCTGCCGAAGAACTGTCCGCTCGCCAAGCTAATAGTCTGCGAAATACACAAACTTACCTTGCACGCTGGACCCCGAATTATGCAGACTGTTTTAAAACGCCGTTATTGGGTTGTCGGCGCTCGCAGCCTGGTCCGCAACGTATATCGCAAGTGTATGAAGTGCACTTGTTTGAACCGAAATCCTGCCGCGCAGGTCATGGGTGACCAACCTGCTACTCGCACAACCTGCGCTCGTTGTTTCACCCGCACCGCTGTCGATTTCGCTGGGCCTTACATGTACAAGTTCACCCACGGAAGAGGAGCTAAGGCCACTAAGGGCTATATCTGTTCGTTCGTTTGTATGTGTACTGGTGCGATGCATCTCGAATTTGTTGGTGACCTGTCAACGCCAGCGTTCCTTACCGCGTTTAAAAGGTTCCCAAATCGCAGGCGAAAATTTGGAATCAAAAGCGAAAATGATATGGTTTATAGTTGTATTTTATATCTTCGAGAAGTATGGCAGCACACATTTGCTCTTTCTGTCGGCCATTGTTATTTCTGTTTGTTTGTGAAAAGTGGTAAAACGAGTGAACGGATTTATAAACGCGTTTTACTCAAATAATTGATGAATATATATATATTAAAAGTATAAAATACGCAAGT